CTACACATGCTGCAGAAGGCACATCACAGGAAACCGCAGCTGGTTTCGCCTCAGTGCCGTGGCTGTGAAACTTTCAGGCCACCCACCCAGTTCCTTTAGAGGCTTGACATTGTTTAATCATGCAAGCTTTAAAGTGTGGCTTGATAAATGTCAGGACTGTGTTTGTAACCTCAAGTTGCTTTCACTTCTCTGTGTTGTGCACAGATTAAGCTCTGCTTTACTGCAAAACTGAGACGAGTTTGCGAACTGTCCCAGATGTTTTCTCCTTAGAATAGACCCTTTGTGGGAGAAACTGGGAATTTCCACTCTAACATGGTTTCCTCTTTCCATGTAACACTGGCGGTCTAGTGCTGCTGGAGCAGAATGATGCTGCAGTCCCTAACACCGCCCTGCTATCGAGTCAAAAGCACTGCATCTCTCTGAACCACTGAGAGCAGGTCATAGCGGCCCAACCAAGAGGAGATCAAAACAAACTGCCCACAAAACACATTTCTTATGTCATTTCCTCAAACGTTGGTAAATGTCCTCCCAGATAAACATACCATGTATTAGCTCTCGTGAGCCAGCATGCAGAAGGTGCGTCATGCAAACATCACGTAGTACAGAATAGGAAGAGGCCGATGGTCAAAGAAAAAGTTTTCTTAATTGGCACCGTGTGATAGTTTCTCTTTCTGCAAGTGCACTTTTACTTTTGAAGTTTCATTTTATTTTTAATATGTTGTAATTATGGAACTGTACATTTTACTTGAACTGTATTAAAGATTTTAATTGTGGAAGTTATTTCTTACTAAACAAACTGACATTCTCAGTTAGGCTGCCTTGTGTCCGCTGTCTGAGGTTTGTTTGATCACTGCATACGTGTTGTAATGGTGAAAAGACGCCGTCTCCCCGGCTGTAGGCCATCAGCAGAAAGTCATCACTCGTATTCACAAGTTGTCATCTACACCGAGTTAAAGTCATCGAAATGGATGAACACTGTTGTACCAGAGGAAGCCTGCGTTCATCTGTATGTATTGTACAGTTGATGATGATCTAAGCCTGCGTTCATCTGTGTGTATGTATTGTACAGTTGATGATGATCACTCATCAAAACAGCCAAATTTGCTCACTTGTTCCAGGCTGGATTCAATCACGTGATAAAACGCAGTCCATACTAACTTACGCTGTATACTCAACCTAATAATACTGTACATCTAAGGTTACCTAAGCTGTAAATAAGAGTTGTTTATTTGTTGAGGGTGTGTTGCTCATTGATTGTAATGATTTGCACTTCCCAGTAAACTGCTTGTTTTTTCAGTTACTGATTTTCAGCTTTCTCCTGGATGTTAATGTTGATTCCTGTGTCTTGTTTCTGAACTACTGTAGGCTCTTGTGGGAAAGTGCTTAGTTTGTTGCCCAAGAGAGAATAAGTACGTCCGAGCCTGAATATTGGTAAATCCTACTCCCCCTCCCCTTCTGTGTGCACAAATGTGAGCAGTAATTTATTACACATCTAGTGTAATAGGCAGCAGACCCTGAGATTTAACACTAGCATCTGTGTACCTGATTCATTTGTACCATCTTCCATTCTTCAGTCTAGTCATTTCTCTCAAGAGGCAATCTGGTTGAGGTTATGATATCAGAGGAGCCGTGATGAAGAGTAAATGCCCTCAGTGTCCAATTGTCTGGATTTATGTTCCTGGGTCAATGGAGTAACAGCTAGAGTGGCTTAATGTAGCTAAAGTGGATATATTGACTGATTTATTTAATCCTAGACAGGATGTCAGGATGACCTCATAACCAAATTGCTTAATTTACTGCTGCCGAGGAGATGCTTCACCACTAGATGGCGCTAAAATATTGGACAGTATTAGTATTAACACAATTACGGGTAATCTCGTAAGGTTCGGTTTTCTTTTTAAGATTGAATATTTGTCAAGCCAATATAAATATTGAAGCTATTAACAGAATTTAGGATATTAACCACACATTTGAAAATAAAGCAAGGTCATGATCCAATTTTAATACAATTCCATAACAACTGCAGGCAGAAACAGTTCATGTATCACTTCATTTATTTATTACTTACATATAATGGGACGTAGTGGGTAGTTTGATATACACAAACATCTTCCATCAGCAGACACGCAGGTGGATGAGAAGGAAAAGAGTACATATTTCACTATTGCCTAATCATTAAATATACAAAAGTTCATTAACAGTAACATTTGAGACCACCTCTGTGGCTGGAGTTGATTAAATTTAAGTGATAACTTCAAACACTTAAGCCCAGGAAATGGAAATCCATAAATGTGTTTTTTTTTAAGTTGTTAAAGTTCATGAGGCTTGTAAGCATTTAAAAGCCAATTTATTTTATGCAGTGCTAAATGAATTTATGGATCTTAAACAAGTAAATACTTCTCACACTGTACAGTGAACAAGAACCACTTTTTCTGGAATGACTGTGAGTCTTACAATAGTCAACAAAAACAATGGACACGGCAAACATCACAGTACTGCTTTAGGCAAAATATACTTTGTATTTCCAGGTCTTTTTCCATCTGAGTGTGTCTGTGTTTTAAGTGTGACCAACAAGCAACATTTATTTTAAATGAGCTGTATAAAATGATCTAGAGCTTCTGAAAACCCAATGACAATGACTGCAATGATCACAGCAGCCAACATAACCTGCACTGTTTATCATCAACAGCCATGACGATGTCTGACACAGCACAGGTTGCCATTACACACTGTCAAAATGGCACTCATCCCAAGTACACTACATTCAATTATGAACTTGTAGTGCTGGGTCAATAGCTCTGGAAGGGCTTTCCAGTTGTAGTTACTTTGCTCCTGATGATTTTAATACAACGCTTGCAAGATGGTCTCTCTTTATACATGGTGCTTGTTAGTTAAAGTAGTGCCATCAAATGAATGTCAAGGTTAATGAGGAGGGGGGGGAGAGAGTGCTCACATTGGTGGGTCTACATCAGTGTTTCCATGCTGCACAGAGATAAATGCAAACACTCGCTGGTTACTACAAAAAAACAAACAAAAAAAAACAACTAATTTCTGCAGCTTCTGGTTTTGGGGAAAGACGCCATATAAAGTACATGAAATGTCAACATGTTGAAATGTGCAGCCTTTATACGGTGTTCCTTCATTAGGAGTACAACAGGTACATAATATTGAAACAGACTGCTATGTCAAATAGGTTAATTCTATTTCATATATGCATATGTAAACAATATTGTGTATTTCTGTTTCTAAATACCCACCATCCCGAAGGTATGTAAATGTTGACTCTGCAGAGACAGGACATTGACTGGGGCAGGGGGCTTTTCCAGAGTAAGAAGAACAAGGAACTGAGGTGACAGGGCAGTAGATAAGTGGTCAGGCAGGAGGGACGGTTGTTGGTTTCTACTCAAGCGACTGAAGCATGAGGAGCTGCTTGAGCACCTTGGTCTGACTGGTCTCCCTGATTTCTCCTGCGAGGAACATCTCATCCACCACCGTGTACACCTGGAAGTGCAGAGAAGGGCGATACAAAGAAAAGGCTCAGGCTTCCTGGAAAAATGTCCTACACAGTCATCATTTCTCAACTCCACCCACATGTCACCAAAATGTAAAAATAACTGCAGGATGACTAAACACATAGTCTAGCCAACATCAGCACACATGGAGAAGTGACTGAGAGAACTGACTGAGCTTGGAGCAGCAGTACGTCAGTGATTAGGAAGGAGAGGGAGGCCGTGTTGTTACTGCCCACGTGGTCCAAAAATGTTTATTTCTCTTATTTGTCAGCTTCTGGTTGCAATGCCGCATCAAACGTGGGCGGTGCTTCATTAAAGTTAAGCATGTGGGAGGATGTTCACTATTGCTTATTAGCAAGTTCGGGTGTATAAATCCATCCCCCACAGTGAGATGATTTAGCTGAATGTCACTGAAAGACTATTATACCAGTTGCCATGGCATTATAATGAAAATACATTTTCTCATTTGCCTTTTGTCCTTCTCTGCTCCTGTTGTCTGAACAAGGTGTTTACAAAGTCATTTGGAAATCTCACAGGGCAAAAGTAACCTCTCAATGTCCTTACCTTGTAGAAGTTGAACACAAGGTCCAATTCGCACACATTGTGGAAATACTCATTCAGCACCTTACAGAAAAGAGAGGGACAGCATAAAATTCAAAACTTTAATTTAATCTGACAGCAGCCAGATAAAGCAAATACCAAAGACAAATAGATGTACAGCAACTTTGTCTAACTGTGATGCAACCAGGTAATAAGCTGACTTCCAGCTAAAGTAGCCAATTTCAACTTGTGTGGGGCTCAGCTTGTTGTGTTTCAACAAGAGATCATTTTTAAGCAGTGTCATTTACAGAAGAAGAGCTACTGACTCCTTGTTACAAAGCCGCATAAGTGAATGTTCGAACAAGCACTGTGCGGGGCTGTTGTGAGCCCGTTCACAGCTTCAGCTTGGTTCATCTTCACATTAGCATGGGTGCCATGACTAAAGACAACCTAAATCTTTAAAAAGAAAATTCACTGTATTGATTTTAGATTAGTTATTTCTTCTTCAGCCTAAGGCCATGTGCAACAACAAGCTTATAAAGTAGAACTCAAGACAGTGCTGAGCGTTTCAGAGTACACTTCCATGCATTCCTTCATAGTCAAACATTACATACAACGGCCTTCACTTCTAATGGCCCTGCATAGGAAATGGTCCGCTGTTTGTCTTTGCCAAAAGCAAACAGTGGATTGTATTTGGAGCTCACAATTTGCTTTATTAAAATGCAATATGAGCCACTGAAGAAAAAGCTATTAATTAATAACTAAGTGAGAGAACAAGATGCATTTGAGCTGCCTGCTGATCAAGGTTTACCATAAACACAGATATTTACTGCTGATTAAAACAAATAAATTAATTAGTAAATAAAGCAGTTCTTTAACAAAAAAAAAATACATCATTTAAAACAGGGCAGCATAAGTTGTGTTGCATTCTATATTCAATTACTGCCTGATGAAGTGTACATCTCCAAAATAAGACTGCATTTCTGGAACAAAATGGAATAGAAATGTGTTGCGCAAGTTTGAAATTCCCATCACAGATTTTTCTGCCATTTTGGGGGACTTTGCTACAGACACAAATATCAACATGATGACATTATGTACGGTGGCACACAATAATACACTGCAGTTATGTCAAGGGCAAATTAAGACAAGAGCAGTGATCAATACAGGCTCATGTCATCTGATGTTCCAGGTGACAGTTTCTGAATGAAACACTCTCTGGTTCCTTTAGTGAAATGAGTCACGACTCTGTTCACCAAACAATATGCCTGACCGGGACTTGTGTCCCAAGTCATCTGACTAAGCTGTTGTTACTGGTAATGTGTTCCTGTCGCTGGCCAAAAGTAAAAAAAAAAAAAAATCAACCTTGGGGTAAAAAGAAAAGCAGATTTTCGCACAGCGATATTATGTCGTTAATGTGCAAAGGTTCAATGAATGAAAATTACTGACACGGGAAAAAAAAAATACACTTCCAGTATGAAAAGACTTTAATAAAAGAGAGCAAGATGTATTTCAATTTTTATTTCCTTCATCACATTCCCAGCGGGTCAGAAGTTTACATACACTCGGCTAGTATTTGGTAGCTTTGCCTTTAAATAGTTTAACTTAGGCCAAACGTTTCGGGATGCCTTCTGCAAGCTTCTCACAATAAGCTGCTGGAGTTTGAGCCCATTCCTCTAACCGGAACTGGTGGAACTGGGTCAGGTTTGGAGGCCTCCTTGTCTCACACGCTTTTTCAATTCTGCCCACAAATGTTGTATTGGACTAAGGTCAGGACTTTGTGATGGCCACTCCAGTACCTTGACTTTGTTGTCCTTAAGCCCTGTTTGTTGTTGCCACAACTCTGGAAGTCTGCTTGGGGTCACTGTCCATTTAGAAGACCCATTTGTGACCAAGCTTTACCTTCCTGGCTGATGTCTTGAGATGTTGCTTCAGTACATCCACATAATCTTCCTTCCTCATGATGCCATCTATTTTGTGAAGTGCCCCTACAGGAAAGCACCTCCACAACATAATGCTGCCACCCCCATGCTTCACAGGTGGGAAGGTGTTCTTTGGCTTTCAAGCCTCCCCCTTTTTCTTCCAGACATAACGATGGTCATTATGGCCAAACAGTTCAGTTTTTGTTTTATCAGACCAAAGGACATTTCTCCAGAAATTCTGATCTTTGTCCCCGTGTGCAGCTACAAACTGTAGTCTGCCTTTTTTATGGTGGTCTTGGAGTAGTGTCTTCTTCCTTACTGAGCAGCCTTTCCGGTTCTGTCGACATAGGACTCGTTTTACTGTGGATATAGATACTTTGGTACCTGGTTCCTCCAGTGTCTTCACAAGGTCCTTTTCTGTTGTTCTGGGATTGATCAGTTTGCTTATAAATCTGTATAAATCTGGTGATAAGCACAACCTCACAAATTATAGACCGATTTCTCTGTTGTCACAATTTTCAAAAATTCTGGAAAAACTCTTTAATAACAGATTAGATACATTTATTGACAAACATAAAATCTTATCTGATTGCCAATACGGTTTTAGGTCGAACCGATCGACATCTTTGGCCATTACTGACCTGATGGAGGACATTACAAGTGCTATGGATGAGAAAAAATATACGATGGGGATATTTATTGAC